GCAACAGGCACAGGCAGCACAGGCACGGGCAGCAACAGGCACAGGCAGCACAGGCACGGGCAGCACAGGCACGGGCAGCACAGGCACGGGCAGCACAGGCACAGGCAGCAACAGGCACAGGCAGCAACAGGCACAGGCAGCACAGGCACGGGCAGCACAGGCACGGGCAGCACAGGCACGGGCAGCAACAGGCACAGGCAGCACAGGCACGGGCAGCACAGGCACGGGCAGCACAGGCACGGGCAGCACAGGCACAGGCAGCAACAGGCACGGGCAGCACAGGCACGGGCAGCACAGGCACGGGCAGCACAGGCACAGGCAGCAACAGGCACAGGCAGCACAGGGCAGCACAGACACCGGCAGCACAGGCACAGGCAGCAACAGGCACAGGCAGCAACAGGCACAGGCAGCACAGGGCAGCACAGGCACGGGCAGCAACAGGCACAGGCAGCACAAGCACGGGCAGCAACAGGCACAGGCAGCACAGGTACGGGCAGCACAGGCACGGGCAGCACAGAGCGTACCGGGTCCAGGGGCGGCTTCTGAGGTCCAGGGGCGGCTGCTGCAGGGGCTGCTGCTCCAGGGGCCAGGGGCGGCTCCTGCACGGGCGGCCGCTCCAGGGACCAGGGGCGGCTGCTGCAGGGTCGGCTGCTCCAGGGACCAGGGGCGGCTGTACCAGCGGCGGCTGCACCAGGGGCGGCTGCTGCAGTGGCGGGCAGCTCCAGGGGCGTCTGCTGCTGCAGGCTCTGGCGGCGGCTGCTGCTGCAGGCTCTGGCGGCGGCTGCTGCTGCTGGGCGGCGGTGGCTGCTGCGGCAGAGCGGCGGCGGCTGCTGCTGCTGGTAGAGCGGCGGCTGCTGCTGCAGGCTCGGTGGCGGCAGCTGCTGCAGGCCTGGCGGCGGCTGCTGCTGCAGGCTCGGCGGCGGCGGCTGCTGCTGCAGGCTCTGGCGGCGGCTGCTGCTGCACACTCTGGCGGCGGCTGCTGCTGCAGGCTCTGGCGGCGGGTGCTGATGCAGGCTCTGGCGGCGGCTGCTGCTGCAGGCCTGGCGGCGGCTGCTGCTGCAGGGCAGCGGCGGCTGCTGCTGCAGGATCTGACGGCGCCCCGCGGGTCCCGCAGGGGGCGTCGCGACGAGCAGGGGCGACGCCCCGCGGGTCCCACAGGGGGCATCGCGACGAGCAGGGGCGACGCCCCGCGGGTCCCACAGGGGGCGTCGCGACGAGCAGGGGCGACGCCCCGCGGGTCCCGCACGGACGTCGCGACGAGCAGGGCGACGCCGCGCGTGTCCCGCAGGGGGCGTCGCGACGAGCAGGGGCGACGCCCCGCGGGTCCCGCACGGACGTCGCGACGAGTAGGGCGACGCCGCGCGGGTCCCGCAGGGGGCGCCGTGACGAGCAGCGGGGAGGGCAGCGCGCAGGCCCCCTCGAGGGCGCTCCGACGGACGGGAAAACCGCCGCGCGCTCCGCCACGCGTTCGAAGCGCGTGGCGGGATGAAAATGCAATGCCACGCACCACGGGGCGCGCGGCGGATAGTACGGCAGCGGAAGTAGGTGGTGGGCCCGATGAACTAGGCGGCAGGATCATGCCGGCTCTAGATACCATGTTAGAATAGTAGGTGTGGGGCCTAGGCTTAGTAGCCTAGGCCCACACTAGGAGGTAGGTGGGCTTGCTCTAGAACTAGGAGTTAGGGTTTACGAAGGAGAATTGGAAGGAAGAATGAGGGACTAGGAAGCAGCAGGACACACAAAATGGCAAACCCTAAGGGGTTGTACTCACTATTGAGCACCCCACTGCAAGCTAGACAAATAACATTCTGACACTTCTCTCGACAAAGGAAGAGTTGGAGAAGATGGTTGAGTTGGTTAGGATGAAACTTGGTTTGGGTTTGCCAAGCCTCAACTTTGGAGGTTTGGAACATTTCCAACTCAACCAAGAGAATGTTGAAGGTTGGAATTCCAACCAATCAGAAACTGCCAAACAAGTGTTACAATCTACTCTATCCTAAACACAACCATTGAATGGTTCTAAGTTGGGTTTTCCAACCCAACACAATTGCCACATAGGCTCCAAGCCTAGGAACCATCCCACCATGGAAACCATGGTTGGGATAGTTCCCCAAGGGGTGTATTGAGGGGGTCTGAGCTAAGCAAGCTCATTCTCAACCTCCCACTCCAACTTAACAATTGGAAATGGGATTGTTTTGCCTAAGTCATTGAGAGCTCTCTCACAAGCCTTCCTACACAATTCTCTCAAGCCTTTTCAACAACTCTTTCAAGAAGATTGACACCTCCAAGGCTATTGGGAGCTAGTTAGAGTTTCAACTTGTATTGAGATTTATTATAAAAGCATTGTAACTCCATTATAATAGCCTTGGGTGTTACATCACTGGATGCTGCTGAAGCGTGAATTTTCGTAACAAATCTGTCCTACGTCGGTGAGACATTACCGTCACATTGACTCTGGAATGTTTTGTATGGCAGTGAATTTCTATGTGCTTTTCCAATAGAAAACCCTACGGGGAGCCAAATTTCGCATTTGCCTTTTTTTCCGCGATGTTCATGTTTGTGAAAGAAACAGCGTGATAGTAATAGATCGGCTATGGTGTGAGAGGTCGGCGGACCTTGAGAGGGTTCGAATATGACAGATGCGGTGAGGCGGAAACACTGGGCGAGACACGTCAGCCACAGGAGCGCGACGACCTTCGCGGGAAGAAATTTGCCATAATCCATCTCGGGGAAGATCTTGTGTGAAAGAGAGGACACAAAGCCAGACATCCTTGAAAAAACCGGGAATGAATATTTGTTGCTTGGTTCTGGTTCTCGTATCATATGTAAGGCGACGTCAGGTTGCACAACTTCGGTACGATCACTGCGGTTAACTTCGTTTTATCACGGTTCAAAATGGTAAAACTGGAAAACCGCATATTAACGTGCGGAACCGTCCTGAGCCACGATTCAAGATAAGTAAATGCACGAGAATCTCCCTAACACAAATGCACCATCCGTTTTGCCTTGCTGGACCAGAAGCATGCTCTGCTGCTTGGCAGAACGGAATGTGTTTGACCACGCTGGACTTGTGACCATTGCGTTTGTTTTGTCGGTGCCACCTCAACGGTGAACAGAATATGCACATCCTAGAAATGTTAGACATGTTATGATCTCAAAACACCTGCCTATGAAACACCTTGACATGGCTATGTTTTTCAGGAACGACTTATGGTACAAATATGACTCAAATCCGTGAATGCTACACCAAATCAAAACTTTGTCCAAAATCCGTGTCTGGAGCAAAACTATCGAGTCTTTTTTTGAAGTTAACCTCACAGTGGATGATCGCAAGGAAAATATGGATTCAGAAAGCTTCAAAAGGAGATTTTGAATTTGGGGTGCAGAAATTACTGTGAGATAAGAAGATATGTTCAGTCTATTACTGTGCATAGACATGTTATTCTGTCTCAGATTCAGTATCTCTTAACGAGTACAGGCTATCCTACAAAAAACGACTCCCTTCATACTAGATCACCTCGAGCTAGGAGAACGAGCACGGACCGCTACTTAGCTACTCTCGTCAATTCGTGTCTGAGCCTTCACCGAGCGTCGTTCGTGCGATTAGCGTCGCGCATTCCTTCACTCGCCATGGTATGTTCACTTGCCGTACGTTTACCCACCGTATGTTCACTCACCGTACATTCACTCACCGTACGTTCACTCGCCGTACGTTCACTCACCTTGTCCGCGCCACATCCCATTTGTTTCGAATCGGCTGAATCAGATGAGATGCACCTTTGTAAGCGTCGCTCGCCGTAATCACATGCCTCTTGCCGTAGTCATGCCTCGTACTATCACTCAACTCTCCCCTCGTGCCTCACGCATCCCTCAGCCGCTCCGCCCTTTCTCCTTCACCCTCGCCGCGTTTCCCTCAGCCTCTCCGCCCTTTCCTTTCTCTCCATCCCGCGACCCTCGCCGCGTCACCCGTCAGCAGCCAGCTAGTGCAGCCCTGCCCACCGCATCCCGTCTTCCTCCCCCCCTCGTCCGCCTCTTCCCCCCTCGTCCGCCTCTTCCCCCCTCGTCCGCCTCTTCCCCCCTCGTCCGCCTCTTCCCCCCTCGTCCGCCTTTTCCCCCCCCGCCTCTTCCCCCCTCGTCCGCCTCTTCCCCCCTCGTCCGCCTCTTCCCCCCTCGTCCGCCTTTTCCCCCCTCGTCCGCCTCTTCCCCCCTCGTCCGCCGCCTCTTCCCCCCTCGTCCGCCGCCTCTTCCCCCCTCGTCCGCCTCTTCCCCCCTCGTCCGCCTCTTCCCCCCTCGTCCGCCTTTTCCCCCCTCGTCCGCCTCTTCCCCCCTCGTCCGCCGCCTCTTCCCCCCTCGTCCGCCTCTTCCCCCCTCGTCCGCCTCTTCCCCCCTCGTCCGCCGCCTCTTCCCCCCTCGTCCGCCTCTTCCCCCCTCGTCCGCCGCCTCTTCCCCCCTCGTCCGCCTCTTCCCCCCTCGTCCGCCTCTTCCCCCCTCGTCCACCTCTTCCCCCCTCGTCCGCCTCTTCCCCCCTCGTCCGCCTCTTCCCCCCTTGCCCCTCAACATTCCAACGACCCGGCTCAACATGAGCAGCCAGCTGGAGCACATACAGCTTAACCCACCGTCTCTTCCCCCGTATTCCGCCTTTGCTGCTCACCCCTCGTCCCTCACCCTTGTCCCACTGACAGGCGAGCGACCGGTTCAACATGAGCAGGCAGCTAAAGCACCGTCCCATTGTGCGCTTAACCAACGCCACTTTCCCCGCGCATGATTTCGCCATTGCGACTCTCCCTTCGCACCCCCCATTGACAGGCGAGCGAGCGGTTCACCATCATCAGCCAACTGGAGCACATGCAGGCTTGCCCACTCGCATTTTTCCTCCCCTTGCCCGTTCCCCCCCTCCTTTCCCCTTCCCCGTTCCCCCCCTCCTTTCCCCTTCCCCGTTCCCCCCCTCCTTTCCCCTTCTCCGTTCCCCCCCTCCTTTCCCCTTCACCGGTTATCACCAGGCGAGCGATCGCTTCAACATCAGCAGCCAGTTGGAGCACATGCAGGCGAGATACGTGGGCACGGGACATGCTGACACCACCAAGTAGTGAGTGCGCTGCTAACGAGTGCCAACATATCATATGTGATTATATCGAGACACCCCTCTAATCGAGGAGGCCAGGTGTACAGTAGTAAGAGACAGCAGCAGTGGTTTCAACATGAGCAGAGAGCAGCGGGCAGCGAGCATTGAGTTGCGAGTGGATAACAGAGAGTAGCAGAGAGCAGCAGAGAGCAGCAGAGAGCAGCAGAGAGCAGCAGAGAGCAGGAGGCATGGAGTGGGCTACAACTAGCAGAGCCATGCCTCTCCGCCTGCTTGTCTTCCCGTGGCATGCAACGAGTGCGCAGAGAGCATCCACAGGGACGGCAAACCCTGTGCTGCCAGCTTTGTGACGGCAAACCCTGCGGGCGCCATTAACTGCCAACCAATCTGGCTTCTCTCGCCCCTGATGCCCTCCGCCTCTTTCTCCTGCTCTCCGTCCTCCGGTCCCTCCCCCTTCTCACTTGTTGCCCCAGCGAGTGGGCAGTGAGCATTCACAGGGACTGCTATGCATCCTATGTGGGGCACATAGCGGGCAGGGCACCATGCCACCAGCTGCTAGCTGTGTGTTCCTCTCACGCCGCCTTGGCCTTCCTTTCCCCTTTCCCTATCTCTTCCCTCTCTCCCCATCCCCCCAGCTTTTTGGCAGTGAGCATCCACAGGGACAGCTATGCATCATATGTGGGGTACCACTTCACCCGCTGCTGGCCTTCTCTCCTCTCGCTGTGCCTATGTTTCCTCTCTCTCACTGTGCCGATGTTTCCTCTCTCTCACTGTGCCTATGTTTCCCCTCTCTCACTGTGCCGATGTTTCCTCTCTCTCACTGTGCCTATGTTTCCCCTCTCTCACTGTGCCGATGTTTCCTCTCTCTCACTGTGCCTATGTTTCCCCTCTCTCACTGTGCCGATGTTTCCCCTCTCCCTCAACCCCTTCCCCCCTTCCCCCAGCGAGTGGGCGGTGAACATCCACAGGGACAGCTACGCCTCCTACGTGGGGCACCACCCGCTGCTGGCCTTCTTTGCCGTGGCGGAGAATGAGAGCATCGGCCGCGAGCGATACAACTTCATGCAGGTGATTGGTTGGTTGGGGGGCGGGAGGGGGGAGTGGTGGGTTGTAGCAGGTGCGTGTAGTTGACACTGTAGCATGGTGGCATGTGAGCGCTACAACTCCATGCAGGTGATAAGGGGGATGACGTGGCTGGTTGGTGCTCTCACTTCACAGCTGCTGTTGTTGACATTGTAGAATCAGTCGCAAGCGAGCGAGCACCTGGAACTTGATGCAGGTGATGAGAGGGATGCTGTGGCATGTGTTCACTTTGAGTCGACTCATAAGCCCGACCGGGGAGGGGTGTTGTGGCATGTGCTGTAAGGTGGTGCTGTTGGTGAGATTGTTGAATTCGTTTCGGCCACTACAATCAACTTCATGCAGGTGTTGTAAGGGATGCTGTGGTTGGCGCTGTGGTTGGTGCTGTGGTAGGTGCTGTGGGAGGTGCTGTAGCCGGTGCTGTAGCCGGCGCTGTAGCCGGTGCTGTAGCCGGTGCTGTAGCCGGTGCTGTAGCCGGTGCTGTAGCCGGTGCTGTAGCCGGTGCTGTAGCCGGTGCTGTAGCCGGTGCTGTAGCCGGTGCTGTAGCCTGTGCTGTAGCCGGTGCTCCGGTGCTGTAGGCGGTGCTGTGGGAGGTGCTGTGGGAGGTGCTGTGGGAGGTGCTGTAGGCGGTGCTGTAGGCGGTGCTGTAGGCGGTGCTGTAGGCGGTGCTGTAGGCGGTGCTGTAGGCGGTGCTGTAGGCGGTGCTGTGGGAGGTGCTGTGGGAGGTGCTGTAGGCGGTGCTGTAGGCGGTGCTGTAGCCGGTGCTGTAGGCGGTGCTGTAGGCGGTGCTGTGTCACAACTTCATTAGGCGCCAGCGACACAACTTCATGCAGGTTATCAGGGATGGGGGCTGGTGCCGTCGCATGGCATGCTGCCATTGTGACATGATGGTATGGTGGCATGGTGGCATGGTGGCATGATGGCATGGTGGCATGATGGCATGGCCCTCATGAGATAGCTTCGTTTTAGGCACTTGTGAGAATGTATTAAAGTCACATCCCATGAGTGCATATACAATTAGTGGACATACCCTTCGGCTTGTATAGTTAATGCATTCACATAAGAGCCGACTGCATAGCATAGCATAGCATTGCAAAGCATAGCAGGGCATGGCATGGTAGCTCCATGCTAAAGGTTGTCTGGAAATTATTAATTCCTACGCCCATCCTCTCTTTGAGGTGTTTGTTCCATTTGTCCAATTCCCTTTTCTCTCTCACTAATGCCCTTTCCTTTCCCAGTGCTTTTTGAGTCGACTTAGAAGGCTTAGTTTCTCTCTTTGTGTCTGTTCCGTAGGTATGTCCAGCTCAGTTTCCTTACTTACCGATTCCCTTCCCTGTCCCCTGCACTCCACTCCACTCATCCTTTTGTCCACTCCTCCACATCCACTCCTCCATTCATCTCCTCGCCCCCACATCACAGCGCATGCTGCTGCCATGTGGGCTGCCGCCAGACCGTGACGAGGAGTGAGGAGTGCGCTGCAATGGACCAGGGGGGCGCTCTAGTTATATTCCACCCTCTCATAGTATGCAGTATCAAGCGCGGAAATAAGCAGGCAGTGACATCTTTCTCCCGCAAGCATGTATTGCGTAAACACTTATCAAAACAATCGTTATTTTCTTAACAATATAATTGTGGCTTACACCAGTATAAACCTTGCAGCAGCACATTTCCTTGGGTACCTCTTCGACCCGTGTGGAAGATTATGCAATGATTCTTATAAATATTAAAAGCGTACAAGCACACACGATCCACACGAGCAGGTCACACAATAGTGCGGACAAATACCCAAGATCTGCCCTTCTGCACACCAGTACTACGTCTCCGCTTGCTGGTCGCAACAAGCATGGTCACAACCAGCAAGCGCAGACGCGGCTCTGGCATGGCAGGCGCACGGAGACATTAAGTAAGGAGCCGCAGCAAGTGGTGTGAAATGGCTGGCGAGATGACAACCTAGGATAGGAAGAAACACCCGTCTTAAAACGAAAGCATTCGTTGAGACATGCGCGGGAGGAAACAGCAACCGCACCAGACCCACGCCTCTTGTCCGGACGTCAGAAGACGACATCCGACACATCAGCAGCGAATCAGAACGTTTGTTTTTCCTTCACCGGCCGAAGGTGCGCGCGCGCGTAGTGGCTTTCGACTCGACTAAAAAAGCCACCTCGGAGCGCGCGCCGAAACCGCGCGCGCGTTCTACGGCTGCTGCATGCGGTTGACGCCGTGCGCGACGACGAACTTGCCCTTGAACAGCGTCGCATCCACCACCACCGACCACTGGCGCCGCTTCTGCCCCTCCTGCCCCAGCGCGATCACCGCCCCGCGCGTCTCCTTCACCGCCAGAACCCTGTCGTCGTGCATCGTCTTGAGAATCGCGCCGGCCTTGATATCCTCGATAGTGAGGTACCCGTCAAGCACGTTCATGAGGCCGAGGTCCTCGTACTGCGCGCCGTCGTCCTCGTTGGTGGGCAGCTTGCGCACGCCCGCGCCCACGATGGCGCCGTTGGTGGGCAGCAGCAGCGTCTTGTTCACCACGTCGCTGAAATCGAAGTTCTCGGGGAAATCGTCTGCGCGACGAACGGAAAATGAATTTGGAAAGGAAGGGGAGAAGCTTATGATGAGTAGGAAAGAGGAAAAATGGGAAGGGGAATGAGGGGTAACACGACGACTCTACTCGTCGAGCATGAATACGAGAAGATTAATTTCTCAAAGCCGAGTGCTATCGCTGACTCTGCTGATTGGCGCAGCAAAGCCAGCACGCGCGCGCGCAGGGAGGAATTCTCTCACGGGGATGGTCTCGTCTTGGGGGACAGCAGCACGGAGGCGACGCGGCGGATGAGCGCGTACTTGGGACCGTTGACATGGTCAAACGGGTATCTCTCCTTGGCGGTAAACGGACGGGGAAAACAACGTCTCACCTTGGCGAGCCAGCAGCGTGGAGGCGACGCGGCGGATGAGCGCGTACTTGGGGCGCAGCCTGAGCGCGCGCTTGAGCGCCTGCAGCTCCGCCACCACCTCCGCCTTGGGGGGGCTGGTTACCTGCGCCGCCGCCAGAGACGCCGCGGCCAGCAGCAGCACGAGCACTGGCAGTGCGAAGGATGGCTTACCCGCAGCCATTATACGCGTTATAAGGTGATTCAATACTAGCAGAGGGAAATGCTGGCCGAAACGAACGGAGGCGAATGTGGAGGATGGTCCCTAGAGTGAGCGGTGTGCTGGTTTTCAGAAATGACTCCAGTGAAGGGGAAAGGCGAAGGCGAGAGCTGATGAAGAACGGTCTGGCCATGGTTGCCTTTAATAGTAAGGTACTATTTCTGAAGTTGCTCTTGGCATGAACTGGTACATGTTTTCGCCATGCCTGTGGAGTGCGATGTCGGATCGAGTGGAATCGGGTATCACCGCCACCACTTCGCGGCGCGCCTCCATACCTACTGTTGAGGTATGTGTTTTTTTCTTTCGAGACGCGCTGAACAGAATAGCGGCGCACCACTGTGATGTGTTCCAGGTGAGCGAATGTTCGTAACGTAGGCTCGATAGATAAAGTCCAGTGCCTCGACCCAAGGGACTGTCCACAAGTGTAGGTACTACTGTCACTAGCTATGGTAGTTACTATACATCGAATGTCCTTCCCCAAGGCACTACCGTCAGGGCAGAACTCTGTTCGCCCTGTCCATCGCCCCGCGCGGGGGAGGAATTGCACCGCCGAAATTTTCTGTGGAAGTGGTGGTGGGCTGCCGCATGCCTAGAAACGAGGTGCCAGCTGGGCTGCGGAGTGGAGGTGGTAGCCTAGATTTGGTAGCTTTCATTACGATGGCGTTTCTCTACAGTGTACAGAGAAATTTACACTAGGACATCTCACTCTTGCAAGATTATTGACAACCCTCTCAAGCATGGCTGATACTGGTAAAACAACCATGATTCAAGAAATATTCGACTTCAAGGCTGATGAGTGTGCTTTCTCCAATAGACTTTCATGGGACAGAAGACACATTGGGCGTAGATCAACAAAAAATAAACCCACTAGGACAGTCCTATACGAATGACCAGTCCCTCTTTCTACACGTGATTGTTGAGTGAACCAGCTGCAATACTGACGAAATGAACTGGAGTCAGCTAACAGCATCGTCCAGCTATCCCATACTGTATGGTGAGCAGGTTCTCCCACCAAGCCACATCTTCTAAGCGCCATCCCTCTCAAAACTCCAGGAGCTAAACTTGTCGACTTGCAAGCCACGCCGCGCCTGAACCCACTTGTGTGTGAACCCAATCAAGCATCTGCAGCTGCTGGCTCCTTTTTGGAAGTATCCTCAAAGTTCTCCCCCTCAACAAGCTCTGGCACCTCGTCATCATCCTCAGCAGCGGCCCCAGCAGCAGCGGCAGCCTCACCTGCCTTCTGATACTCCTGAGCAATCTTCTTCAGTCCGGCCAAGTTATCAGGGCCTGAAAAACATGAAGAGTGGGAGGGGGAGGGGGAAGCAGGGAAGGGGAGCGGGAGGAGGGTAGGGGGAGGGGAGGAGGGGGAGAGGAGTGGGTTGTGAACAAAGAGCACGACTATAATGCAGAAGCGAGAGAGAATGACGCGGGTCATCCTGTGTGTGCCAACTAACCCATGTACACCCTGAAATTCATTCCAATGCGCAATCACATTTACAAAAGGTCAACCTCCACTTACCAAGCTGGTTGATAATGCCAGGCAGCAATTCTTGGAGATCTGAAAGCAAAACAGAAGAACCAGACATTGCAGCCACATCCGTAAGGCCCGCGGAAGCAATGTGAGGCAATGTGCGTGTCCAAAAAAGACGGAAAACAACGGCAGGAATTGCATGAAAGGAGAACGTGCAACTTACTCTTCTCCCGAGGGACGCCACTGACAACCCATGTGTTTGCTCCGATGGAAGCTTGCACTGTAAGTGGATACATCGAACGAACGGGGACAGATTGCAAGGACCAAGAGTGACAAAGGAAGTGGATACATCGAACGAACGGGGACAGATTGCAAGGACCAAGAGTGTCAAAGGTGGCTGGAACTGAGTACGAGGAACTTGAAATTAAGCACATAAAACCAGCTCAAGAGAAACGACCAGATACCATGCATTCTTCACGATGCTGGACAGCAAAAAAGCCGTGTTATTGTACCCTTAGGGTTGGAGAAGTGGAGGACCGTGTCGTCTTTGAAAATGTTGACCTCCTCAATCCCAGGAATCGTGTTCACACCAAGGCGCTTCAGAGTGCTTGATAGCCTCTTGTCGTCGGTCGTCGTCGTCTTGTGAGCGGCCTTTTTCTTCCTGATAGGAGTGAGGAACCAGCAAAAAAAGGCAGACGTCGTCATTCGGCAATGGACCCAAAAGCAGCAGAACGACAACGCCTGCTGAAGTGTTAACAACACTTCCGGTCGTTTCTAACTATTGAACCACTGTATGTGCGTCTGGCCTTGACAGAAAACAACAAATGGAGTTTAGAAAGAAAACCCTAACGCTGAAATTACTGAAACAGGCCAAATATTCTCGCAAGAAAGTCCTGGTGATACAAAAACCCTGTCAAAGCCTTTCGCCTTCACAAAAAAAACGGTCCGAATACTCTACATCTGTCCCGCGCTTTTCGGATCTTGAACCCTAGAAACCGGTAAAACTGTACCTCCTAACAGTGCCCTTGCCGCCGGTGCGGACGGCAGTGGCCATCTTCATAAGCTTCTCCCGATCCATCTGAAATAAAGTCAAGTTAATAAATAAGGCACCTAGACGACGACGGAATCGCAACACCTAGCACAGATTCAGAGCTAAAAGGCGAGTCGAAATACTAACGATAACTAACTTGCCCTGTTCTAAACTCATACCTTGCTTACGGGACGCTTCTAGGACGTGAATTAAGTCACGAGGCTGGCCCTGCCTGACCCTACGACTGCTGAGGTGAGCGAATAGGAGAGGGGAAAAGGACTTGGTTCTGCAGGGAAGAGGGACAAAAGCTGCGGAGATTGCTGGGGAGAAGGGGTGCGAGGAGCGGAGAGGGGGATAGGATAGAGGACCGAGGAGGGGACAGAAGAGGATAGAGAAGGGTGTGCACCCTCTTGTGGGCTTTTCCGCGAGAAGACATCAGCAGAATGTGACATTGACGGTACGACAGCAGACAGCCGTCCGATCGTTAACGATAGTCACAAATTCTGGGTATGAACGGTATGATTCCAACCAGACTTTTTGTAAGTCTGAGCATGTGAAGTTAGGCTCGTGTTTTTGCGGGTGACTCAATAGTGACGTCGGACGAAAGCCCGCTTGCCAGCCAATAGTAACCAGCTTCGCCCTGTGACGTGTACCTCGCCGTAACTTCTACGCCAAACTCCCAAGGATCACCCGGATTTTCCGACAGGGTCCCTTCTTTGTATTTCAAACGTTTTTCACTCCTTGTAAATCCTCACCACCCCTTTCTTCCATCAGTCATCCCTCTCCATGAATCAGCTTCAGCCACAGCCACAGCAGCACTTCACTCAACGAACAGCAGACTTATGAATTGAAACACCAGTCCCATAAAAAAGGGCAAAGCTGAAGCATGACTGGTATCTAGTCCTGGTTACCCCGGCATGAAAGTTTGTAGCCGTCCGTTTTAGCCGCTTTCCACGAACCGCGGACTACTTCAAACCGTAATTCGGGCGAGCATTGTGCCTGTCCGTAATGGAGTGCGTTCACATGCAAACAACCGCCTATACACTACTGCTGCCACCGCTATTATCAGATTCAAGCCTGGTAACCCAGAGAATTGCCGATCGTTTTAATCGCTGTCGTTCTGGCTGCCATCGCTTGCCGTCGTTATCCGTCTTGCATTGTGTAACAACACCGTCACACCGCGTAGCAACACCGTTGCATCGCGCATCAATATTGCCGCATCGCGAGACAACACCGTCGAGGCAACGGCGATTGATAATTCGGCGAGCAGCGGAGGGGTGGAATGGACGATGGGCCGGACCAAATGGTGACGACTGGGCGAGATCAAGCGACTATAAAGGCAGCGATTCCGCGGATGCTCTGGTGAATGATAATGCAGACGCTGGCCGGTGGGGTACCCGCTTCGCGGCATCAAATTCCGCTGATCCTTCCAGCATATCATCCCCACGTGGGGACACAAACCAGTCTCAGGGAAGGGGCTCTCCCAGACAGTCGATTTCTCCTCCTGTTTCTTCCCCCGATGCCACGTCACTGTTCCCTCATGACACGTCATCACCACCTGCTCTCGATCCGACCAACCTCATGCGCGTCCTCGCCTTATCCATGGCTGCGCGCACCGCCATCGTCGCCGCGGCTGCCGGCTCCTTGACCGCCAAGTCCGCTGATCCTCCCGCTGCCTCAAACTCATCCGCTTCGTCCGTGCAACACTCAACTTCGCGACCGCCATCCCAGTCGCTCCAGCAGCAGCAACCACAGCAGGAGTTTGGAGGCAGGTGGAGAGAAGATAGGAGGGGGAATGGGCGGAGAACGGCGGGAAGCGGTGATGGTGGAAGGGGTAATGCACTTGGTTTTAACGGGCTTGAGACGGCTGCAGCCGGAGCAGGGCGGGAGCAACAGCAGGGCGTGAGGGTGTCGTTTGAAGCGCCTCAAGCAGCAGGCATGGGGGCGAGAGCTTCGGTCGAGGCGCCCCAAACCACAGCGGTGGGGGCGAGAGGGCCGCTGCAGCAGAAGCTGGGGTGGGAGGCGGACGGCAGGGGGCGCGGGGGGAGAGGCGGGGGGCGGGGGATGGGTATGGGCGGGCGGACAGGCAGGGAGTTGCCGCTGGGGGTGGCGAGCGCTGTGAGGGGAGGGGGAGGGGAGCGGTCAGGGGGATGGGGAGGTGGGGGAGGCGGGGGAGGGGAGGGGGAGGGTGGGTGGGGAGAAGCTATGAGGGGAAGCGGAGTGGATGGTTTGGGGGGATGGGTTGCAGGGCAGGCGCAAGGGGGAGTGGGGGAAAGGAGAGGGGGGAGGGGAGGGGAGAGGGAAGGAGTAAGAGGGGGAGAGAGGGGAGGTGAGAGAGGGGGAGGGAAGGGAGGAGAGAGGGGGGAACAATGGGCTGTACAGCGAGGAGGGGGTGGGGGAAAGGGAAGTGGCGGAGAAGGTGGAGGTGGCGGAATGGGGGAGCGGAGTGGAAGGGAGAGGGAGGAGTGGGACTATATGGATGGGAATCTGACTGATGGGCAGGGCGAGTGGAATGCGGATAGTGACGAGGGTTGGGATAGGGAAGGAGGAGGGGAGCTGCGCGGGGAAATAAGAGAGAGGTTCGGGCAGGGGGGAGGAGGGGAAAGGGGCGGGGGAGTGACAGGGCAGGGGGGAAGGGGAGAGAATCCATTTTGGAGAGGGGATGGGCAGGCGATTGGTAAGTATGCCGAGGGGAGGGATGGGAGGGATGGGAGGGTGGGAGGATTGGGAAGGGACGGTGGTGTCTGGGGAAGAGGAGCAGGCGAGCAGTCTGGTGTGAGGAGCGGGGAGAGGGAAGAGAGAGGGAGAGAGGGGCAGTGGAGGGGCGGTGGAGAGGGATGGAGAGAGGCAGGGGAGGGAGGGAGAGCGGGAAACGAGCAGTGGACGAGGAGGGCAAGCAGAAAGGATGGGGGAGGCGGTGCTGTGGCACGTGGGGGTGAGTATGGTGGAGGTGACTATCAGGGAAGTGATGGTAAGAGAGGGGAGGACGAGAGAGGGGGGCGAGGGTGGGGGACCGCTGGTGAGGAGGGGAGAAGTGAGATGCCAGTGGGAGTTGGAGGGGAGAGTGGTGCTGAGAGGGAGTGGGGAGGGCGAGTGGGAGAGGTAGATGAAGAGAGGGGAGAGGGTGGGGGAGTGTTGGGAGAGGAGGAAGCCTGGGAGGCAAACGCATTGCGGCAACAGCAGCAGCAGCAGCAGCAGCAGCAGCAGCAGCAGCAGCAGCAGCAGATGAGAGAGCAGCGGAGAGGAACACAGGAGACACCGCTGGGGGTGAGGGGTGATGCTGGTGGGGCCAGCATGGTTGGCGGCGACAGTGCTGCTTCTTTCCCCACCAGGGCAGTAGAGGGTACGGAGCAGAACGCACGGGTTGACAGCAGCAGAGCCACGCCAGGTTATCCCTCGACCAACCCCAGAAGCACCAGCAGCAGCAACGCCATTAATAGCAGCAGCGCCAGCAACGCCAGCACCACCAGCAGCAGCAGCAGCAGCAACAACAACCCCAGCACCACCGCCACCACCCCAACCACGACACCATCTGACCCCGGCACATCACTCTCCATGCGCGAGCGCTTCAACCAGTACATGTCCGAGGGGCAGACCCTCCTGCAGGAGGGCCGGGGCGGGCTGCAGGGGCGCATCGAGATCGGCATGGCGGAGGCCTTCTTAGAGCGCGCCACTGGCCTGTTTGAGCGCGCGTGCCAGCTGGACCCCGTGAGCGTGGCGGCCGTGGGGCAGCTGGGGAACGCGCTGCTGGCTCACGGGGAGGTGAAGCTAAGGACGGTGCAGCTGCTGCGGAGCCAGTCGCCGCTTGCTGGTCTACTAGGGGGAGCGGGTGGGGCGAGGGGCGAGGGAGCAGGTGTGCAGCAGGAGCAGGTGGCGAGGGAGGCAGCGGCAGTGATGGATCGGCTGGCGGATGAGTGCGAGCAGCTGCTGGTGCAGGCCGGCCGGCAGTACCGGCAAGCGCTCAGCATGGATAGGAGAGATGCCCGCGCGCTCTTCAACTGGGGGCTGGCTTTGTGCTACCGTGGGCAACTCGTGGCTGAGGAGGCTGGGGATAACGAGGTGAGGGGGAGAGTCGCGGGGAGGATAGAGGTCAAATGAGAAAGCAGAGGATTAGGAAGTACCGCCAGGCTCTCAGCATGGACAGGAGAGATGCCTGCGCGCTCTTCAACTGGGGGCTGGCTCTGTGCTATCGTGGGCAACTCGTGGCTGAGGAGGCTGGGGACAATGAGGTGAGGGGGAGTGGGAGAACAAAGTGAGAGGAGAGTGCAGGGAGGAAAGCAAGGTGAGAAAAAAGAGGGGAAAGGGAGAGGCGAAAAATGAGGGAATGGGGCACAGCACGGACATGCCTGGCTGGAAGTACAAGGGACTTGCTGATTGCTTGTTCTCTGCACAGCCTCCCTTCTTCGCCCACTCTCCCTCACCCAAGTGATCTCCTTTTCCAGATCTCCCTCGCTCCCTTGCCACAACTACAAAGGCAGTAGCAGACGGCATGATCTGTTTTTCTGACACCTCATAAGTTCCATCCCGCTCTCTTTTGAGGCGCGTCAAAAGTCGTCTCGTGAATCGCGGAAATTTTCTTGCGACTCAAAAGGCCGTATGGTTTGTTTTCGTAACATCTCATAAGTTCCATCCCGCTCACCACCCACCACGGCACCACTCCCTCCTTTTCCAAGGAGTACAAGGCGATGGCCGACCGCATGTTCTGTAGTTGAGACATCTCACAAGTCACGCCACACCATCTCCCCCCGCCCACACCCACCACCCACCTCCTTCCCCCCTTGCCAGGAGTACAAGGCGCTAGCAGACCGCATGTTCTGTGCCGCCATTGACAAGTTCGAGGCCATGCTCTCCATGACCGACCGCTGGCACGCCAGTGGTGAGTGCCTTGCCCTTCACATCTGCCTTCTCATTCCCACTTCCTCCTCCCACATCTGCCGTACTCCGTTCATTTCACCTCTCATTTTAGGGGAAGTTCTTCTGTACGTCCCAAATTCATTCTCCCACCACTAAACAGCAAGGTTTTTGCCCCTTTGATTCGTTCCTGCCTT